TTTCTGAACCTCCTAGTGGGCAAAGCATCCCACCTCTACAAGAGAGTCACACATCCAAAGGAGCCATCTTTATGCCTCCAAAGCATCTGAGTGGCAGCTGGGAGAATGGGTGCGGAGGTAACGGGGATGGACGCCCAGTGTACCTGCCAGGTGAGAAGGCCACGGCCGTGGTAACTCAAGCTGATGGCTCGGTGCGCACCCGCCCATATCCTACATCCTTCCCAGGGCAGCAGGAAGGGCCAGCTGCAGCTCTCCCCAATGTGAGGATGAGGACTGGAGACAGAGAGGCCAGGCTGCACCCAGAACGCAGAGCTGGGGTAGAGCTGGGTCTAAGACAGTGTAGCTCCCGGGCTGGTGCCCACCGCTTGCCCTCTGTCTCCTTCATTCAAGACACCTTGGCAGAAGCAGAGCCAGAATCCTAGGCCCACCCTCCCTCTCACCCTCCTGGCCTCCTGATTAGTTACCCAGCCAGGCCCTGGGACAAGCTACAGGGCACTCCATGCGCACCAGAGCTCCAGGGAAACTGAGGCAACAGATGCTCTCTGACACAGTACTAATGTGAAATACAACCCCATCCCCTACAATAGATGGCCAGCAGACCCCCACTGTGCCATGATGGTTCCCGGGCTTCGGAGTCCAGTCTCCCTCACTTCAAGGTCCCAGGGCCCTCCTTCTCCCCGTCAATGCTCTCCATCCCTGTCTCACACTCTTCTCTACAATAGCAAGCATCTTCATTTTTTATATCTTTGAACAATCATTGTTCAAAGGCTCATTGGACCTCACAGGACCAGGTTAATGCAGCCTAGATCCCAAGTTCTGAAACCTAGCTGCCTAAGCCCCCGCCTGCAGCCCCCACGGTGCCAAGCTGCCCTAAGGCAGGGTGGGACCATTCCCCACAGATAAGCATGCACCCAGCCTTTCCACACATTGGAGAGTACTGTCACCAAGCTTCCCAGACAGGCAATGGAACCCTGCGGGTGGCCCCAGGCCACTTACTCAGTTTCCCATTTTTTTTTTAAACTCAGAGTAAAAAAATTGTAATAGCTAATATTTGCTGAGTACTTGCTTTGTGTACTCAGTAAATTCTTGGTATAGATTAACTTATGGAGGCCTTTCAGTGACCCCCAAAGGAAGGAACTGTCAGAACCTTTTGTTACACAGGAGACTATCAGTTCACAGAGGCCAAGGCATATACCTGGTAAGTGGGGGAATCTGGACCCTGACTCTGACGCTGAGCCTTCCCATCCAGTGCTCAATAAACGACTATGGCCACAAAAATGTCCAGTGCATCACCGATGTTTAATAAATGCTTACAGACAACGGGGAACTGGGATACACAAACGGCAATCAGAACACTTAGGGACCAGAAAAGAGCACTTATTGAGCACCTTCTGAATACTTGAATGGGTCGAGTTGGGGGTAGAGGTTGAGGTCACTCTGGGAGCCCAGCAGGAGACACAGGGCCTGGCCTGGGCTCTGCTTCCTGTCCCCATTGAGAGGAGGTGACAATCAACTTCATTTCCTGCCAGGACAGAGGCCCTCCCTTAAAGGCCTCCACTGCTAGCTCCTCGGCTTCCCAGTCCTGTGGCAGGGTCCCCCTGGGCTTCCGGTTTTCCCTGCGATATGCCGTTTGTCACCAGAGATAAAGGGTACCTATGAAATAGAAATTCCTCTGGCCCTACAGCCTCTAACCCAGTGGTTCTCAACCTGTGGGTCGAGACCCTTTTATGGGGGTTCAAATAACCTTTCACAGGGGTCGCATGTCAGATATTTACATCACTATTCATAACAGGAGCAAAATTACAGTTCTGGAGTAGCATGGAAAATAACTTCATGGTTGGGGGTCACCCCAACATGAGGAACTGTATTAAAGGGTCCCAGCATTAGGAAGGTTGAGAACCATGGCTGTTCCTCAGGCCAGACTGCAGGCTGTGGCATCGTCAGCCTTCCTGGCTCTAGAAACGATAAATGCAAGCCAGATACCTGCCAGCAGCGATGGAGTTTTAGCAAGGCCACCCTTCCTTCCAGTGCTGCAGATACGGGTGGGGGGCACCAGAAATTGGGGGGCGGGCGGTAATCCCTTCACTTTGCTCACCTAGGCCCAGAGAAGAACAAGAGACTTGGAGTCCCCCAGCCCCCATAGCCACTGGCTCTGCAGTCCTGGGGCAGGTGATTTTGCCTCTCTACCCTCAGTCTTCTCCTCTGTACAATGGAACAATAAGGGAAACAGTAGGTGGATGTAGCACTTTCTCCCTCCTCTGCCAGGCTCTGGATTGCTCCAGCTGGGGTCAGCTACTGGTGGCTGGTGGGTTGGGCTGAAAGCTGGGACTAAACGGAGCTTGAGAGGCTGGAGAGGAAGAGGCATTAGCCTGGGCCTTAAACACCACATGACATTTCCTAGGAGGCCGAGTCGGGTGGCCATTCCAGGTCAGGGCCCCAGCTGGAGCCAGCACCTAGGAGATGGAAGCGGAAGGCAGGCAGGGCTGGTGAGGAGTATGTAGTAGCCACAGCATGAGACACACACCAAGAAAGCACTCCAATGACAGGACAGTTGGGATTTTATCCTCCGAGTGATGGGGAGCCCTAGAGTGTTTTGGGGGGAGGGAGTGACATGGCCAGACCTAAGCAGAACGCTGTGAGGTGCTGGTATGGCCAGGAAGGGGCATGCCTGGAAGTGGAGTGACCCCCATGAGGTGGAAGCAAGGATGCCACGGAATGTTCGATCTGAACTTTAGAAATCCTGCCTCCTTTTAGTTATCGGGGCTCAGACACAAGCTGGGAAGGCTGGGTGGGGGAGGGGAGGTTTGCGCTCTTGTGAGGAAAAAAGAATGTCTCCCAAACAGGGTTTAGATGGGAAGAGGGGCCTCTTCGTTGGAGTATCTAGTGTGCAGACGAGATGAATTTGGGCCCCAGGGGCAAGGCAGGGGCCTCAGTATTTGTCCAGTAGGCCCTCTACTTCATCTCCAGGGCAAGGCGGAGCTCTGGGCAGGAGGGGGTTGGGGGCTGGGCAAGGTCCAGTTTGGAGTTTTTATCACTGGGTGGGATTTTTTATCACTGGGTGGGATTCAAGGTCTGTGGAGGAAGTGGCCACCCCCTTCCGGCCAGGCATTTTTTTTTTTCCTTGCGCTGGTGCTGGCCACGTTGGCTTTTTCCCGAGGCTTCATTTCCACACACCGCCCCTCCTGGCTGGCCAGGCATGGGCATGACTCCACCACACACCCACAGCAGGGGCAGCCAGGCCCTAGGCTTCCTGTCCCTCTCTGGGCAGGCCTATTGGAGGAAAACAGCACTCAGGCCTTCTTCAAAACAGGAAACTGCTCTCCCTGCTTCCTGGAGGACAGGAACTGTCCCCATGGCAACTGTGGGACAAAGAGGCCACATTAACCCTTCCCAGGGCAGGCCTGGCTTGGAGCTGCTTCTTACTAATGTCTCGGGGTATAGCGCCACACGGGCGACTGGGAGTCAGCCATATCGACCCTTCTCATGTCTTGCTGCCATTCCGAGGGCAAGGCAGAGCTGGGAGTTTATATGTATTGGCTATACCCATCGGCCAGCACTCAAACAAGCTAAGACCAGGCAGGCCTCACGGTGACGGAGGGCCACAGGAGACAGCTATGGGGCTGACATGGACCGCTTATTTCAAGTGCTGGCCCTTTGCTAGCTGTGTGCCTGGAGCAAACGGTTTAGGCTTCTCAGAACTCAGTTTCTCTTCCTGTGAAAGGGTGGTCACCTCAAGGGGCTGTTGGGAGCGTTGACAGAGGCCACACATGCAAATATCTTTCATAAATGCTGATCCCAACTGCCTCCGGCTTCTCCCTCCTCCCACTGTGGGAAGCACTGTGCCTTGGGAAGGCCCAGGACAGCTGAGAGACTTCAGAGGATGGTGGATCTCAGTGAAGGAGGCCGGGGTATGACAAGGCCTCAGGAGCTGCTGCTGAAGGGAACCCATGAGGTTATACTAGGAGAGGGGACAGTGAGGATACGTGTCCACCACGTGGGGAAGGGCCTGCACTCTCTAAAGGACAACAAGGTGCAGGGAGAGGGGGAAATGGAGAGAGATGAGGGAGGGCTTAGGGGTTTCAACTGGGAGCTGTGGAAAGACCCAGGGGAGGAGCAGAAAAGGACGGATTCAAATTTGCATTACGGCTGGGGGTGTGGCTGGGGGGTGGAGCCCTTGACACACTCTGCCTGTTTAAGTCTTGGGTTCAATTCCCCGACAAGTGGGAAGAAGGGACAGAGGGATGGATGGTCAGGAGAGGAAGGAAAAAATAGAGATGAGGAAGAGAAGAAGCAGAAGAGGGGAAAGGAGGGAGGGAGGGAGGGAGGGAGGGAGGTCAAACTAGTTCTCTGATTGTGGGTACTGGCAGATTCAGCTCAGTCATAGACTAGGGACCCTGAAAGGTGATTTTTCTGGAACTTTGCCCAGAATTCGAACCCTGGAGAAACCTAAGACAAACCTTGCATTGTGGGAGTCAAGTGAAGACTCTGTGACCCTAACCTGCCACTACTCAGGAGCCCAGCCTTTCCCTCCCTGGCCCAGCCAGAGCTCATTGCCTTTCACCGCTTGCTTCCGGAGTAAGGGCGGCTGACCACCAGACTCCGAAGCCCTGCACACAGCCCAGCCTCCCCAGCTCAGGCCACGCCAGCCTCCTCTCTTTCCAGTCCTGCTGGCCTCCTTCATCCCCAGGACCTTTGCACCTTAGAAAACCATTTCCTGAATTTTCACATAGGATGGCTCCCTTTACATGTCCGGTGTCGCCTCCTCCCTGACACCATTCCAGCTCTGTTCTAGTCATCACCCCACGTCCCCTCTTCCTTGTCCTTACATCCTTTCCATCCCTGTGGACAGCAGCTCCCCTTTGCTCAGGAGCTTGGGTTCCGAGATCTTTCACAAAAAACACCAAGCCTCATACTATTCAACGGTTCTTCCTACACTCACACACCTGTAATAAAAATAAATCTGCAAGTTAGGCACACGCACACAGAGTAGTGACCACAACTAATTTTATTTAACAGAACAATGACAATGAACCACAATACATTTTTTTTATTAGTTAATTAATTAATTATACTTAGGAACTGCTCATGCCTGGAATTTTCCACTTCACGGTTTTGGACTGCGCTTGACTCAGAGCAGCTGGACCTATGAGAATGAGACTTCGGGTAGGGGTACAGCAAGACCAGGCTGTGGCCGGTGTCCCCAACAGAATGCCAGCGCTAGCAGACAGGGTTGAAGCTCTGTTGCTGCTGTCTCTGCAGCCCAAGGCCAGAGCCTAGCATGCAGAAGTGTCCATGGTGGCACCTGGTAAAGCTGGATAAAAGGAAAGCCGCACATCTGGCCTCAGACTTCTATCTGCTGAAGGGGCTGCTGACCTTTCGCTGTAGGCTATACTCTCGAGGGAGGGCAAAACCTCAACACTGTGCTCTGGAAGGCAGAGCCATGGATTTCTGAGTAGGTCAGTTTTCCACCACTCTGGTAATCGACTCAGAAAGAGGATGGTGACTGGGCTCATGATTTCGTGGTTCAGGTTCACGACATGTTGGCTCTGTTGAATATTATGGCAGGAGTGGGTGACAGAGAAAAACCTACTCACCTCATGATCAGGGAGGGAAAGGAATGAGGAGCCAAGGCCAGAGTCCTATATCAAGGCACACCCTCGATGACATGAAGACCTCCTGCTAGGCCCCACCGCCTCCCAGTAGACTTAGCTGGAGACCAAGTTTTCATTTAATGCCCAGGCTTCCAGGCCTAAACCATAGCAAGTGCGGTCACCAAGAACTGTGCTCAGAGGAATATTACTAGACTCAAAGAAAACCAGTACCTACCTTTGTCCTCTCCCACCCACCAAGCCAGCAGGGGTGTACAGACAGAAAGGAACGGGTTGATTTGCTTTATGAGCGTTGACAAGGTCGCTGCCAGAGTCCCCTCCCTCAGGGTGATGTAGGAATCCACACTTCCTGTTTGAAGAGATTTTCTGGGTGTTGTATAACAGTTTCCTCAAAGATTGGAACATTCCATTCTTCAGGGAAGCTCCTTAACTAGGAAGGTAAAGCACTCAAAATAACTTCAGGAAGTCCCTGAAACTGACCAGACCCACTAGGCCCCCCCCCCCCGCCCTGCCAGAGTAAGCAATAAAAGCTGAGAGTCTTTCTCAGACTCACTGAGCCAAGCTGCAAAGAAGACTCTCAGACAAGCAAAGCTTCAAAGGTGACTCTTGAGATGAGACGAGCTGCCTGGAAGAAGCAGAAACCAGCTCAGCTGCCTGGAAGAGGTGTAGACCAACTGAGGCACGTGCAAGGGATTCTCTCCAACCTGTTGAGCTTCCTGCAGGCGGTTCAGCTTTCGTGAGCTGTCACCTGTGCTGGGGTGGGCTTTGGTGACACAGCTTCTCTGAGTCCTGTAAGTCACCCCTCACCCATACTCCTGTAAACAAAAGGCACTGGTTCACCCACCTGGACTTTGGTGGTATACATGCATACTTTGTCTGGTATGGGTTCCCTATCTGGGATGAGTAGACGTGTGTTGCATCTCCCAGGGAAAGTTTTGTCATATATAACACCGGGCAGGTTAAACTACAAACTCCAAGGCTACGCCAGGCAGGAGGAGTCTCTGGGTTGAGATGAGAGTCTTCATTCTGGGAAGCAATGGGGTTCACTAAAGGCAGGGATCTAAGGGGTACCCCTGAAATTTCAACGGGCCACCAGATTAAAACCCAATGGCCAATAACTGGCTAAGTGCATAGTTGTGCCTAGTGGTAGGATCTAGGCACACCCTGCATGCTCTGCAGAGAGCTGAGGCAGAGGGATGCCTAACAATGTGTTGTGGCCACCAGCCAAGAATCCACCGAGGGACAGGGCACTTAAGTCTTCACAGGGTCAACTCTTTCCTCGAAGGCTGGGTTTGCAGGAGGGAAGTGGCAATGTCACCTTCCCCAGTGAGCCAGGAAGGTGGTGGCTCAAAAGGAGCGCTCGGATGAGCCAGTGGCCAGCTCAGATTTATGTACACAGGGCCAATGCAGAGGGGAACAGCTCTAGAGAAACCTTCTTCATTAGCTTAACAAGCCTGTGTGTGTGCAACCGTGTGCATATGCACAGAGGACGCAGAGGCAGATGTAACCCCTGTCAGGGGGGTCATTAATTGCCACGCTCCCCTCCCACACAACACACACTTAGAGAAATGAACTGGGTCCCGTCTGGAGACATCATTAAGGCACTGGTCCAGTCATCACCCTGTGTCTGTAGAAACTCTGGCTGAGGAGTGTGGGGAGGGTCCTTTCTTCACAGACCCCCACCAGGATCTGTGTTCAGAAACCCACTGAAAATTCACACAGTGTGAACTTCAGACTGCTGGGACAGCTTGGGGCACTGGACTCTGAGCCACAGCCCCATCACACACCAGCCAGAGTACCAGGTCGGTCTTTCCCTTTGGGGGACCCTCTCATCTGTAGAGGCATTTCTAGACCTACTGCACATGTGCTAAGAAGAAGGAAAGCTAGTGGCCTCACAGCCTCAGCCTAGTTCCCGGCTCTTAGTAACTCAGTAAGCATTAGATACTGCCGTAGGAACAGAGCTTAGCAGGTGATGAGTTCGAATCCGACCTTTAGCAGGTAGAAAAGTCTTAGCCATGTGCTGCTCTTTCTAACTTGCTGGTGTGTGGGTGTGTGTACACAAGCATGTTTGTGTGGGCATGTGCACAGGTATGGGTGGATAGACATGGTGAACAAAATAGTTTGTCCCTGACTCTGTGAGGTATACAGGGGAATTTGCAATCAGGTAAACTCAGGCTCTAGAACTGCAGTTCTCAACCTGTGTGGGTCGTGACCCACCCATCCCCAGGTTGCACAGCAGAGATCCTGCATATCAGATATTTACATTACGATTCATAACAGTAGCAAAATTACAGTTGTGAAGTAGGGATGAAATGATTTTATGGTTGGGAGTCACACAACATGAGGACCTGTATTAAAGGGTCGCATTAGGAAGGTTGAGAATCATTGCTCTAGAAGTTACCTGTCTCTCCCAGCATCGCCCCAAGCCCCAATTCCTGCCTCCTTCCTCCTGCCTTGCATACTTGCCCACTCATCCACATTGACCCCAACTCCAGCCTCTGTTTTCCTGCTCCCAGCAAGAAGCTTGCGTTTTATTTTTGTTTCCCAGTAATTGATTCCCACTGTTCCGACAGGCATGCTGCTGAGGGAAAACATGTTTGCTCACTCAGCCTTCCACTTCCTTATGGTGCCGCAGTGCCGAGAACCCACTGCTCCGAGGAAAGCGTGGGGTGACTTTTCCCTTGGTTCTTTGCTTTTTTCCATTGCACGGTGGGGGAGTGGGGGGAGAGACAACAAAACATGTTTTCCTTTTTTTCCAAAGGAAATCGGAGCTTCATGTTGACTGTCTCAGCCTCGTTTCCCTCCTGCGATGGTCTCAGATGGAGGCGGTCTGAACGTGAGGGTTAATCTTCATGATCATCTGGCCTGGATTTAGAATCACCATGGAAACACACCTCTGGGTGTGTCTATGAGAACGTTTCCAGAAGAGTTTAACTAGAGGGGAAGACCCATCCTGAATGTGGAGGGCAGCATGCCATGTTCTAGGGTCCTGGACTGAATAAAAAGGAAAAAGCGAGCTAGGCCTCAGCGGTCAGTGCCCTCTGCTTCTTGACTGGATACCATGTGGCCGGCCAGTCGCCTCACACTCTTACAGCCATGCCTCCCTGCCCTGATGGACTGTATCCCCTTAAACAGTGAGCCAGAATAAACTTACCCTTCCTTGTCTGTCCGTCCCCCCCCCCCCCCCCCCCCCCCGTGGGGGTATTTTGTTACAACAACAAGAAAAAGTGACTAACACATCGAATTAACACCACAATAAAGGAATGGCCTTCTTTTCACTGAAAGGACGACTATCCTGACCCAAGTTGTGACCCCTTGGAGCCACTGACACCACAGAATTCATGTAGCTTTGTTGGCAGTCTGTGCACATTCCAAGCAGCTTCACTGTTCCCATTTCCCACGTGTGTTGGGAACTGGCTGTGCGTATGCGTAGCCAGTGTTCTGGGCATGAGGAACAGCTGCCGAGAAGTCACCGACACAGCGACAGGTATAGGGTGTGCAGCTGCCCTCCAGGATCGTTCCTCTCCCGTGACTCTCCCGTTTCCCTGCACTGTCCACTCTACCATCACCCTAACTGCCGCCCTGCAGAGGCTTGCTGTCATCCGTCTGCTGATTCCAATACTGGTCTAATTCTGGACCTTCTGCTCTTTTTTGAGTCTATTTGTCTCCCTTTGCACCAAGATCTCCCCATTTTAATTACTAAGATATCCGCTAAAATGGGTAAACCCTACTTGACTTAGTGACTCCCTATTATTGACTACTTACATTGTTTCCAGTGTTTTATTGTTACAAGTTGCATCATTCTAAGCCATGGTAATTAAAAAAGCAATTGAGGCTGAGGCAGACTGTGCCAAGCTGTAAATGCTTTGTATAAATCAACTCATTTCATCTTCACAGCAACCCTCTGCGGGACACAGCTGCTAGAAGCTCTGACACCTGGAAACTCAAGGCACAAACAGGGGGAGTGACTTGTAGAGAGTCACACCTTCTCCATGGTGACGACAGGTTGTGAGGCCAGGCAAGCTGACAGGCAGTTGCACTTTGGTCCAAGAGGCTGAGAGGAGACAGCATTGAGGAAGAGCAGAACAGAGGTGCCTTCCTTGTCTCTCAGACTTAAGTAGCTCAGTTGCTGTGGAGCCAAAGAAACCTGGACTCCCCCCCCCTGCTCTGCTCTGTGACTTTAGGCAACTCTTAATTCCTCTTTACACCCAAGGGTCCACATCTGTAAAGAGGGAATGACAGATCTTCTGGACTGGGTCCCTGGGGCCTCTGGATCAAGACAGCCTGTTGGCTCAGAGGGTGGTCCCTGCAGTCTTAGAGCTCCTCCTAAAGTGCTCTGTAGAGTGTGGACCTTTTTCTTGTGATGGAGAGAACTTCTCAGAGAAGAAAACTGAGGCTTGAAGAAGCCTAGGGCTATCTAGTAGGACCACCCAGAACCCACCAATTGTCACAAGTCAAAGCTGAACTCAGAATGCTTCCCCATGCATGGCAGTCCACTTCCCCCCTTTAAGGAAGTCCCATTTTTCTACCTCAGGGGGCTCTCCTGACCCACAGACTTGAGTCACCATCTACAACATGACTGAAGTAGGACAAGGAAGAGACTAGCTAGTCTTGGCTCTACTGACAGAACCTGTACAAAGGAAGGCCAAGGACTGCTTGCTGGATGGATGCATGGATGGCCATATCCTGTCATGATCAAGCATCAAGACTAGAAGGCTCTTGGAACGTATGACTTCTGATATAAAGACTGGGATGTTCCAGGTCAGGGATGGAGTTGTTGGGCTCAGTTTGATGTTCACCATTTGGTTGAACCTCTATGGGTTAGGTCCCAGTCTCTAGGAGCAGAATCAGAACCAGAAATCCAGATTCACGTGAACAATTAAAAACCTGCCCTCACTGGAAAGAAGGGAAGCAGGAGGGCAGGTGGAAGCTGGGGCCCCGTATGAACCTGCCTCCTCCAGTCCCCTAGAAACCCTGGGGCGTATGGACCCACAGAGTACACCCCTAGAGAAGGGAGCAGAACTCCAGCAAGGTGCCTGCTGACCACTCAGGAAATGCTCACAGCTATTAGTGGATGCCACTGCAACAGGGAAGATGTTACCCAGTGTTCTTTACATGTCACAAACCCATCGGGGAGGCGGGTAGGATGACTGCATCCTGCCCAGCAGCTTCCCACTGCACTGAAGATTAAACTCCAAGTCCCACAAGGATCAACCTAGGACAATCCTACACCTGTCTTGTGCCTCATCCCCATCCCATTCAGCTCCTTCACTTGTGCCTCTGGACCACTCTGGGCTCTTTCCTATTATCACACTGCACATACCACCTCTACTTGACCCATGCCCTTCATCCTTGCTGTTTATTCTTCCTGCCTGGGCTCCCCTGTGCCCGGATCTTTCCATGTCTGCATCCTTCCTGTCACTCAAGCCTCAGCTCAAATGTCATCTCCTTTGAGAGGACACCCTGCCAATGCTGTCCTAACACCCCCAGGAGCCCTCGATCACAGTGTGGGGATCATTTTCATCACACTCCACACTACCTGAAATGGCTCTGCTTGCTTATTTTCACGAGTTGCTTTGTGTCTGCCTTCATCTTTACTGGCTCCTAGGGACTAAAAAGTGCCAGGCACACAGTTGGCCATACATATTTGTTGACTGACAGAATGCATCTTCATTATATAGATGGCAAACTGATTCTCAAAGAAGTCACATGACTTACACACAAGGTCATCAGCTGCTGAGTGGCACAGTTAGACTGCTTATTCCTTGGCCTTCTGAGCAGCCCTGGCTGATGGAGGGGGTGCCTGATGGTGCCAACCAAAGGGTCTGCAGAGAGGTGGGGAGGAGCAAATGTCAGGGTCTGAGATTAGAAACGCTTTCTGGCCCCTTGGAGGTTGTATGAGTCATATGTATTTCCTGGAGAATCTGGGGGCAGCGAGCCCCTCGCCTGAATCCCTGTCCTTCATCAGAATGCACTGGCCAGCTATGGGGTGGGAGGGCGGGTGCTGTCTGCTGGGTGATCAATGTTAATAATAAACATTTAGAGTTAATAAGCTCGGGTTAACTTCTCTCGCTTGGGTGACTAATGGGCTTCCCGGAGCCCATAACTCACACTGTCTGGCCACATCTCCTTTCCCTCCCTGGCTTCGGGAACCCCAGCCTGCTGTGAGATGTCTCAGGATCAGCAGGGAACCTACTAGACTGAAGCCTTATTTATGGCAGTGAGCATGGCACTTTGAGGCAGTAACAGGCGCTTTTCTAGCTGGTGTTTGGTTCCAGGAAAAGGAGACAATGCACTGGGGGATACTAGCAGGAGGAATTTGTGTGAATTCTGCCCCCATGCTACAGCTTCTTACCAGTCAACCAAGTCCATCTGAGCTATTCTAAGAATCAGAACTTATGATGGATTTAAAAGGTGAAAAAGAAATAAATAAATAACATCAGACACATGCCAAAGGTTGGTCACTTCTGTTTGCAAATGTATAAGACGTTGAAAGAGACAAGAAAATACCTGTAAAAGACAGCTCCAAGATCCTTGTTCCTTTTCCTCAAAGGGTAGTTCCAGGACCAAAAACATGGTGTGGCTGGGACTTGTCAGGACAGCAGACACTCAGGCTGCCCACATTTGCTAGGCCAGCGTCTGTATATTAATAAATTCTAAGTGACTTCTGTGCACATTTGGTCTGGGAAGTACTGACCTAGATGTCCATAGCCAGTCAGTAACTTGAGCATTCCTCTCATTGCTTTCCCAAAGCAGACATCACTAATCAATCACAGTGCTCTTAACAGTAAAGGCTAGAAATGGCTTCAGAATTCATTTCTACATAGCACTACCAGGAACTCCTTCAGTGTTCAGAGCTGGAGTGCCAAGTAATAACTGACTGCTGCCCTGGATTAGAAAATCCAGCCCAGTCCCTCTGCAGAGTTTCTGGAACTGATTCCATTCACAGAATAGGTAGGATGAGGCATAAGATATAAAACTATAGAAACTGTGGCAGGGAGAATTCACGAGGCCCAGTGAACTGTGGGATTCCTGTTAGGATGAGTGAGAGGGCCACTGAGCACTTGAGCATCTGTGAGAAGAGCAGGGTAAAGTTGCCTCCCTCCTCCCACTGGGCAGGGAGAGGATGTCCTTCCACCTGGTCCTTGAACTGGTAGAAAGACAGCCACCAGTATGGATGTCTTACAACAGCATGACTGGCAGATCACCATAGGAACTGCTCAAAATGACTTTTCAGGGCTAGGGAGACGGCTCAGTGGATAAGGTGCTTGCTGCCCAAGCACAAGCACCAGAGTTCAGATTCTCCTGAGCTCACATAAATGACATGTGTGAATGACAGCCATCCTGTAATCCTAGGTCTCGGGAGGCAGAGACAAGGGCTCTCCAGGGTAAGCCGGCTAGCTGGACTAGCCGAATTCCGCAAGCTTTGTGTTTGTTGAAAGACTCTGCCTCAGTAAACAAAAGGTAGACAGTGAATGAGGAAGACACCAATCTCAGGTTTTGGCGTCTGCACACACTTATGCATACGTACATGCACAACTACACATGTGCCCACACAAGTGCCAATGCACCCACACACATGCTTGCACTCCACATACATATGTTGAAGAGAAAGAGACACTTAAGAGGAGCCCATCCTGCAGAAACTGTTAGAGCTCTAGAATGCTCTAGAATCTTGTGTAGGTCCATCAGTGCTGATGTGACAGGGATTGCCCTATCACCATCACTCTACCATCCACATTTTCATTCACTCCATTGCCCC